TACTCCTTGTGGGGGAGGGAGGGTGCCTCCTTCGCGAGCATTTGTGGAGGACCGCATATTTCTTTTTGCGTTGCACTTTTTTTCCTGGAAAAGTCTTTTTTTTTTTTTTTTGCAAGAAGCTCGTTAGAATATCATTTCTCCTCAATCACATCTAAATGGGATCGTGAAGCTCATTTTACGAAGACTGCTTTCATCTCATTTTTGATATTAAACATTTTAATTTCTAGGTGGAGACTGAAGATGATAGAGGAATTGGTTTTCTTTTATTAGATAAAGAAATGACCCAATACAAGAAAAACTAAGTTCTTTAAAAAAAAGATTCATGCAATCTGAGGAAAGTGAAATTCCAACCCCATGATGAGGTGGCAGACGAAATAGTCTAATCACAGGGACAACAAAGAGAGCATTCGAAAACCGTTTAAGGGTTTTGACTTGTTCCCTTTGATACCCCCTGTGAAAATACACAAGACGAAGAGTTTCGTCTTCCAATAAACTATGACTTTATAATCAACCATTTGAAAGAAAGAACTATGAATTGTTAACACATGTTTGCAAAGCAGCAATTATTATCAACACTAGAAGTACCATCCCCCGAATGAGCCAATGCACATTTGGTGGATTGTTCTTCCAAAGTCAGTAATATATCCTTTGACTAAGAACAAAATGTGGAGGCTTAATCTTCCTTTCTTGAAAAGTATAAGAGCTGGTGTAAACGCAATAATATCGTGGTCTTCTGAAATCTATCCGGACGCACTTCAAAGTTATAGGAAGTACCTCTTTCCTGTCTGGCTCTCGTATATCGGTACACCTCAGGATTACAACTACTGTCATCCCGTCTTTCAAAGTCATACACTTGGGTCACTTGTGTGGAAAGAGGAAACAAACATATGCATGTCATTGTGATTTGCCCGGTACCAAACATTAACAATGCACTGGAAACGCGGTGGTCATGGGTTCAAATCTCGTATAGACCTAAATATTTTTCAGGCCTTATTTTCACTACTGCTTAAGTAGTGTTCAACACTGCGAAGATCACGTTCAAATTCATTTCTGACACTGACACCATACTGAGAGTCTGTACTTGGCTACAAATTATCGATATCCTTGTAAAGAGTGTTGTGAACATACATTTTTTTTTCGCCTCATATGAGGAAAAAATGCATTTTCAGTGGCTAACATGGCTAATACCGTGCTAAATTCGATAGTCATGTTGGTGTGTTTTTTCGCTTTCCAAAAACTCTGGCAAAGCTTAATTAAGCATGTCAAGATATACCTTTTCTACTCCGTCGCTTGAAGGATCGTTTTCCATGTCATCATACTCAACGTTTTCCGTGTCATCTTTCCCTGAAAAAGACGAAATGGAAAATGATGAGCATGATTTGACTTCAGCAATAAAAACCTCAGACACCAAAACGAAAACACAGTCGTAGATAGCGAGAAAGGTTTAAACGTGTCTTTGTTTATTGACGTAACAAAGGCTAATCAAATAAACAAAAGAAAATTGATGCTGTGCGCGCGGTTTTCTAATCATTATTTAGTGAAATTAGTTGACTTTTCGTTAATAAAGCTGTGCGTTACCGAGGTCACTCAATCAAAATTAGCCAATCGCATGGCTCCAACTTCAGTTATATTACGCACCCCTTAATAATCGGTCACTGACCAAATCCCCTAAATTTATCTCCGATGTGTACTGTTTATTAAATCTTCTTAAAACGGTCACCTATATCATTATGAAGCGGATGGCTTTCTAGGTACCTAATTATTTCGCTACGCATATCTTTTAAACTGATCTATTCTTGTTTATTTCGTTACCATGTTCCCACCGATGGCGTGGCTCCATTTTTCTGCATACAGACATACACTCAACCCAAAATTCCTCTATTCGCTCTGACGAAGGGCTAATGAAGCTCGAAACGTCAGCTTTGGACGTTCTCTCTTTACGGTGGCCAATTTAAATAATTTGCACCACAGTTTCTTTAAACAATGGGGATAATGCATGCGCAGAGGACAATCTTTAAGTTTGTACAGTTCTGCTTGGCTTAAGTTAAACTTTGAGGAAAAAGAACAACCGCGAACAAAATCAGCGATTAAAAAAAAAAGAAAAAGAAAAAAATTAAAAAATATATATATATTAATAAAAATGATATTTACCAAACAATTCCGTGATTTACCCTTTACGCTGTATCCTTCACATATAAGAAGATATGAGGTTTATAATAATGTTTATATTTAGTTCAATAACATCGCTTGACGGTTGGTTAATCAGTAATTATGTTAATGCAATACTCTTCCACTTTGGGAAATGGACCAACTCAAAAACTACTCAATTGTACCTCTTGCCGCGGTAAAACTCGGTCCCTGGGAGCGACTCTCACTCACCCTCACGGTTAGGCTTGGGGCCTAACATAATTAGAACTTTTCAAGATGGCGGCCAAACAAGTTCAAATTTGACATTTAGTAATATTTCTGGTTACAAAATCGTAAACAAAGTCGATGTTGTGCTAACTACATCGTAGAATAGTCGGTACCAGCCAAAAAAGAGACATGTAAGAGCTGATAACTAGAAATCTGTCAAACGAATGCCGTGCCACATTCTTACGTACGCCACCAAAAATAGATTTTGGTTACGAAATGTGGTGGTGCAATGAGGGGGAAGGACCGATGTAAAAGCCACAGTGATTCTGCGATTAGTTACAGTTCGATAAGGAAGGGACATCTATATAACCAAATTGATTTGATTGCTCAGTAGGTCGAATTCTTAAGGAATTTTTTTTTTTCGTTAAATCAATGGCATTTAAAGCAAGGTCGTCAACTGTGTCAGTTTTTGACGAAGAACTAATGAACGACTTCCTGCGAAATGTTCGCATTGTCGGCAAAGATCTTAAAAGTGGAGACAGCGACGAGAAACAAGAGCAAGTGGTGGAAAAGAAACTTATTAGGAAAAATGGTAATTTTAGCTCTACTTTGTAATTGAAGAGTTTCGTTAACACATCGGCGAACTCTTAGTTTAATTAATTCATATTCCCTCGTTTGAAACGATGAACAGGTATTGCCAACGACAAAACGAAGTAACTAGGCTAGTAATCGTTTAAATCTTAATCTCTGATCTCCTTTTCTAGCTGCTAAAATACTTTTAAATTGGCTAACGGAATTTGGTGTCTACATTTGTGTCTTCTCATCACCTGTTTGCAAAACAGTGAATTAATATTCTATGGAGAAATTACCAATCAATCATCTCTGAGAGTTTAAGAGTTAATTATTCAGACTGAATAAGGATTCAAGTGTGATGAAAGAAATGTAGTTTTATAATCTTTTGCTTTGGTATCACAGAATCATATGCTGGAGAGAAACTTGGAATGAGCTGCTCCATTTGCCAAGTAATTTTTGACTCAGTTGAAATTCAGGTAATATGATTTGATTTAAG